TATATATATATATATATATATATGCATTGTAAATGGCAGAACCAATCAGAGAAGGAAACGCTATCATTTCATTCTCCCTTGAGTCTCTCTAACTTGAGTGATCTGGAGCCCAGGAGGTCGATTCTATATTTTCAAACAAGGTGAAAATTACAAAAACAAGCAAATTTATTAAATGTTAACCAATGATAATCAGTATTCTAGTAAATTCGCTCACTTTTATAATTTTCACCTCATTTCAAGATACAGAATCAATTCCCTGTTTTAAAAGATTGTGCGTACAAGCACTGACAGATGGCGACAGGGCGTTGCGGACGAGACATCAATTCCAGCCAGCGATCTATATCGACTTTGTAATCCTAGCGCAGACGAGATCGCGAGATCTCGCTGGCTCGGTCACGTGATACCGTACTTCCACAGTTATTTTTTCAGGCATGATGGCGCCAAACGCTAGTATTCACTTTTATGTAAATATATTATTGATTTGGTGCGTACCGCGATCGAGCACGAGCGTTCGCCGTACCGCGGCCGGCCGTCGTAAGTAACCCCGTCGCGGGGTAGCGCGCGGACCCGCCGGCGGAGTGAGTAACGGACTGGCCTGTGCCGCCCGCCTGGAATCGCTAATGAGGACATGTTGGTTAGGCTGCCGTGACAGAAAGAGAGAGAGAGAGGACCGAGGCCGTTACGCACTTGCTGGGCAGGAGCCCGTCGGCGTGTTCCGCGGCGGCTCGGGAGCGCGCACGGCTCACGCCGGCGGCCCCGCGGCCGGTTTCACGCCTGCACGCGATCACGTGCCGTCTCGCGCGCGGAAATATATCCGGCTAATAGATCAATAATAAGGTATTTAATGGTCTTCCCGAGTGTATATGTGTGTGTGTGTGCGCGCGCGGGGGAGACCTGTGGTGGAGTGCGCGCGACGCTGCTGCCATCTGTATTGTCAATGTTGTCGGGCAGCAGCAGCAGCAGCAGGAGCAAACCAGCACCAGCAGCAACGTAATGGAGCCGTGAGCATTCTCGTAAGCCGTACGCAATTGCATCAACCGTGCCGACCGTCATCCTCCGTGTGTGTACAATGAGATTTAACGCCGCCCGCGGCCCGCTCGATCGTCGACACGTGCAGTGAGTTGTGAATGTGTTGCCCCATTAAAAACGCCGCGGAGATCTGTACAAGCGCTTAAGTATACGCGAGAGAGCGCGATCCCCGCGGGGCGCCCCGTTCTCTCTCTCTTTCTTTTTCTTTATCTCTCTATCTCTATCTATCTCTCTCTTTCTCTCTCTCTCTTTCTTACTCTGTCCCAATGTTTACATGATCGCGCCCGTCGTGGACGATGGAATTGCGATTTCGTCGATGACTCTGCGCCATCCATCGTCCACCGCGTCCATCGTTCGCGCGGCCGCTTTCGCGGCCCCGCGTCTCGCGGTGCGCCACGCGTAAAACGTCTCGGCCGTCGCGCCCCGTGGTCGCCGGGATTGTTCGTGGCGACACGCGCATCCAGTCCGCGGTCCTGCGTTTTTTATAACCTCTTTTCTCTCCCCCGTGCGACGGAAGATCCGCCAGCCATCGCGGGGGACGGACGCGCGCGTATCGCCGATCTGACGGGTGTCCCCTCCGTGTGTTTACAGCCGACGGCGACGACGCGCGCCGCCGTTTAGTGGTGTCGCGCGCATTGGAGTAATGCCGCGGGTGCCCGCCGAGGATATCTGACGTCGCTCCGCGCTCTGGCTCGGCCCAACTCCAATTCTCTTCTCGCACACCCCTCCCTGATATCGTCATCCTTACTGTTTTAGGCGAAATCATATATATCGTATGGAATGTTGCTCCTTTGCCGTTATTCGGTAAACTGACGTACCGTTTGTACACGTGAGACTTGGTGCACACGAACGATTTGTATATATTTATCTCTGGAGTCGATATTGTACTCGAGAAACTGTATCTGTTTTCTATTCTTTGCGGTAAACTATCGTAATGTGTATTGTAGTATTATAATTTTAATGCTTTTCGTAAGTGTGTAACATTTTTTAAATGGTTTTTTAAATTTATTTCTTGCACATAATTTCTGTCATACTTTTTTTCTTTTTAGTTTGAGAAATCTTCTGTGTATATTTTATATGTACACACACACACACACACACACACACACACACACACACACACACACACGCACACGCACACACACATATATATATGTGTGTGTATACATAATTGCTTATATTTTCTGAATATTTTCTTATTTTAGTACAATTTTTACACTTGCTCCTGCTATATTTTCTTTCTTTCTATTTGAGATAAAAATTTATATTTTTTCATTTATATTTGTGTTTTCTTTTTTCCTAATTAAAATGTGTTTACATTATAATATGTTTATATATTTAATATATTATGTAAGATATTTTATATAGAATATTAAAGAAAAGTAATGATTTAAATATTTCTATGATATCACTCAAGAATATAAATGAGAGTATAAAACTTCAAAACAAAATTAATAATCAACGGATAAAGTTGTAAATTATTATGTCAAATTTTGGGTATTAATGAACAAACTGGTTTGCGATCTATTATTATTATTCTAAAATTATCCTTCATACAATTGTCATTTACTAAACTACACATTCTTTGTCATTAACTTGCAATAAAATGATTGTTATTGATAATTTTCTTCCCAATTTGTGAAATTTTTCGAAATCAAGCGATTCATTCTTTATGTTTCAGTTCTGAAGATAATCTGCTTTCCAGATAATAAATATATGGATAACTATGTAGTAAGTTTATCTCTATACATAATTTTTAAAAATATATATTGAAAAGAGAATAGAAAGCTCAAAAAATACACAATTGTTATTTCAGGGTGTACACAGTTCACCTGCATGTGCCACGTACCACTAGCTTATTTGGCATAGTAGAATGGCACAACGAGGCAAGAGGCATAGAAACGACAATGATCTGGCGTCTTGTCCGGGCGCTATTAAAAGGCGCAAATGTAGATTGGGCCCAGCTGCCACTGGTTCATCGGCACTGGCAGCGACCATGGGGCCCTCAGAAGAAGAGGAAACGATGGCGTCTTCTAGCCAAGGGGGGGCACCATGGTCCGCCCGATCTGTCAGTGATATCAAGATTCCCAGTATATACAATCGAACATCCGCGGAAGCACCAGCGGAATTATTTCGTAAAGACCTGATCAGCGCTATGAAATTGCCAGACAGTGAACCATTGAGTCCAAACGAGTATTGGGTTATAACTGATCAGTGGAAACAGGAGTGGGAAAGAGGTGTTCAAGTACCCGTTAGTCCGGATGCTCTTCCTCAACCGAGGGTTACTGTTACACAGACGTCTCCTTTGAAGTTACAAGCTGAATTCAAATTGTGAGTGCATAATGTGTATTGTTAGTAAATTGTGTGAAATACCTTGTTGGTGATCATTAAAGTGTGATATAATATCTTGTAAAATCATCCCATGTTTTTCAGGCCTAAAAAGTTAATAAGAATATCTCGTGATGATTATTTTAACTCGGAGGATCATCATTTAAGTACTACTCCAGCAAGAGCGGAGAAAGCTTGTGCTTATGATCTCGATGATACTGACATTGCCTGGTTGGAAGTATTCAATGGAGAACGTGCACAGGTACAATCAATTGTTTATAGTTATACTAAATCAATTGACATTTCTTTGAGATCTTTTAATTTTGTGCACAAAGAATTTGTGTTATCTTGATATCTTATAAAAGGTATGATTAAAAGATAAGATTTTTAAATATAAATGTTACAATTAAATCTGAAGACAAGTTTCTCGGCGCTAATTATATTTTATATAACCAAATATATTTCCTGTTTTATATAAAATATTTTATATAATAAATAAAAAACAAAGTAAAAAGTTTTAATACATCTCTGTTGCAAGAAAAATATATTTTATAATAGAAAAAGAATGGAAATTTTTAATAATTTCTGATTCTTAAATGTATGTGAGACATTTCACCGATATTTTTAAAAGAGAATTTGACTTGGGAGTAGTCATCTGAGATATTTTTGCTCTAATTAAAACACTATTATTAACAACACATATTATCTATTATTGTACTTCCAATTTATTAGTATTTGAGAACATTATGAATTTAATCACAATTTTTCAAAAACAAGTAAAAATCAAATGGAAGTATAATATGAGTAAATAGAATAAGTATAATAGAAGTAGCTTATTATGATTTCTAAAAAAATAAAAATTTCAATATAAAATTTTTTTATGAGTTTTTTGATGGAAATACATATTTAAAGATTCGTAAAGAATATTTTACAATTATTTTATATTTTTTCATCACTGAAGTATCAAAATATTTATGTGATTATTTCTAGGTTTAACTAGTCAAATTATGTAATATTTTTACAATTTTTATTATTTCTAATGACATAAATAATTTGATAACTTTTATTTATTATTGAAATTATTTTTGATTATTATTAAAAAAATTAATAAATATTTATGTAACCAATGATTGTATTATCTATTATTAATTTTTTTATATACATACAATATTTATTAATTAACAATATAACACATGCAACAACACATTTTACATTAATATTTTATATTAAAATTGTCCAGGCTGGACAACCGCCGATTACAGAATCGCAGTTAGAACGTGTCATTGAAGAATTGGAAGTGCGTTGTTGGGAAAGGATTCAAACAATCGTGAAGAATGAGGAGGGACTTGGGATTGAATACGATGAAAATGTCATTTGTGATGTTTGCAGATCGGTGAGTGATTAATTTACTTTTATATAATGCGAATTTGGAATATATATAATTTATTATATATTTGGAATATATATAATTTATTATATATTTGGAATATATATAATTTATTGTATGTGCTTCACATGTGTATGATATACACTTCAATTTGTGTTAAATTGTTCATAACACAAATTTTTATGATAGCCGGATTCGGAAGAAGGTAACGAGATGGTGTTTTGTGATTGTTGCAACATATGTGTACATCAAGCTTGTTACGGCATTACTTCAATACCCGATGGCTCTTGGTTGTGTAGAACTTGTTCGTTAAGTCAAAGACCTGACTGTGTATTATGCCCTAATAAGGGAGGTGCAATGAAGTGTACACGAAGCGGTCAAAAATGGGCTCATGTTTCGTGTGCGCTTTGGATTCCCGAAGTTAGCATTGGTTGCGTAGAGAGAATGGAACCAATTACAAAAATATCCAGTATTCCGGTAAATAATAGTAAAATCTTATAATTATTAATCTACTGTCTATATCTACTATTTTTAGCATTATTCAGATTTAAATTAATATTTAAACCATATTTTTTTTTTAACATTTAATTATATATGTTTTATATTTTTTTTATTATATATTTTTAGATATTTAAATTAACTTGAGATTTTGTTATTGTGATTCTGGATATACAAATTGATTAAATGTAATAACGAATTGCAGCAAAGTCGATGGGCCTTAATTTGCGTTTTATGCCGCGAACGTGTGGGTGCTTGCATCCAGTGCAGTATAAAAACATGTAAAACAGCGTATCATGTTACATGTGCTTTTAAATATGGGTTGGAAATGAAGGCTATTATCGAGGACGAAATGGCAGACGACGGTGTGAAATTAAGGGTAAGCTATTACATGCGATTCAAATTCATTGGAATTATTTGTGACTACAACTATAGAGTCATTTGATAATTTCGTGTTTGTAGTCGTATTGTCAAAAGCACAGTAGAACAAATACAAAAGACAAAGTCGGCGTTGGCGGTAGCGTCGGAAGTGGAGGAAAGGGTGGGTCAGATTCTGAAGATGGTGAATCCAGACGACGGAAGCGGAAAGACATGACTTCTGAAGAAAAAAATCAAGCACGTGCAGCTAAGTATGTGACATAATTTTTTAACATGCTTTTCGAAAGCAAAAATAAAATTATAAATACATATCAACTATATCTTATTAATCTTGTTAAAGCCCGATTGCACAGTTATTTTGATAACGTTCTTTTGATTTTAGTAAAGTTTAAAAATCTCTTTCTTTTTTTTTTAAGCCGATAGAGAGACAGAAAAGTAGAGAGTTTTAAGCATGTTTAAAATTAACGTTGGTACAAACGGTACCATTTATGTGTCAGTATGATTAAAAAATCTAAAAAGTAAAATTTTACGGAGAAAAGATCTTACATTAATAATTTAGCTTTAACAGACAAAGTTATGGAATATCAGAAAAAATTTTAAATAAAATATTAAGAAAATAAATTAGATTTTGGATCAAATAAACCTAAACAGACCAGGATTAAATGTTTTAAAATTTATGAAATTTTAAAATAATACAATAATGATAAAATTCTTATATATAAATAATATTAAAAAAATA